GCTTAAATTTTGCGATATTCGTAATGAGGAGCGTCTGGAGTGTCCGCACACAAATTTTGACGGAAATCGTAGGGGCTCACCCAAATGACCTTGAAATTCAAACCTCCGTAACTTCGTAAATATGGCGGGCCGAGCTTAAATTTTGTGATATTCGTAATGAGGAGCATCTAGAGTGTCCGTACACAAATTTTGACGGAAATCGTAGGGGCTCTCCCGAATGACCTTGAAATTCAAACATCCGTAACTTCGTAAATATGGCGGGCCGAGCTTAGATTTTGGGTGCATCGTAATCAGGACGTTACGTACTATCCACTGACCAATTTTGGTCCAAATCGTAGGGGCTCACCTGATTCCGAATCTTAGATTATAGATTAGGATTCACTTACATCTAACTTGACGACCGTTACCCCCACGCCTGCTGGACGTACCGCACACAGCGCACGCAGCAGTGTGCGGTGCCCGTGAACACCCCTCTGGTTCTGACGTTCGTATAATTGCATGCAGATTGATATCAATCTCGTACATGCAGATTCCGGACAATTTCAAATCGGCTCAAAATGGGCATATAGACCAAACAGGATACGCTGATCACGAATCCGAAGTCCGTTCCGCGGCACATATGAAACTTTTCCCGGAATTTCCGAATTCCGAATCTGCATGCGGATTCCGGACAATTTCAAATCGGCTCAAAATGGGCATATAGACCAAACAGGATACGCTGATCACGAATCCGAAGTCCGTTCCGCGGCACATATGAAACTTTTCCCGGAATTTCCGAATTCCGAATCTGCATGCAGATTCCGGACAATTTCAAATCGGCTCAAAATGGGCATATAGACCAAACAGGATACGCTGATCACGAATCCGAAGTCCGTTCCGCGGCACATATGAAACTTTTCCCGGAATTTCCAAATTCCGAATCTGCATGCAGATTCCGGACAATTTCAAATCGGCTCAAAATGGGCATATAGACCAAACAGGATACGCTGATCACGAATCCGAAGTCCGTTCCGCGGCACATATGAAACTTTTCCCGGAATTTCCGAATTCCGAATCTGCATGCAGATTCCGGACAATTTCAAATCGGCTCAAAATGGGCATATAGACCAAACAGGATACGCTGATCACGAATCCGAAGTCCGTTCCGCGGCACATATGAAACTTTTCCCGGAATTTCCGAATTCTGAATCTGCATGCGGATTCCGGACAATTTCAAATCGGCTCAAAATGGGCATATAGACCAAACAGGATACGCTGATCACGAATCCGAAGTCCGTTCCGCGGCACATATGAAACTTTTCCCGGAATTTCCGAATTCCGAATCTGCATGCAGATTCCGGACAATTTCAAATCGGCTCAAAATGGGCATATAGACCAAACAGGATACGCTGATCACGAATCCGAAGTCCGTTCCGCGGCACATATGAAACTTTTCGGATTCGGGATTCGAAAATTCCGGGAAAAGTTTCATATGTGCCGCGGAACGGACTTCGGATTCGTGATCAGCGTATCCTGTTTGGTCTATATGCCCATTTTGAGCCGATTTGAAATTGTCCGGAATCTGCATGCAGATTCGGGATTCGGAAATTCCGGGAAAAGTTTCATATGTGCCGCGGAACGGACTTCGGATTCGTAATCAGCGTATCCTGTTTGGTCTATATGCCCATTTTGAGCCGATTTGAAATTGTCCGGAATCCGCATGCAGATTCGGGATTCGGAAATTGCGGGAAAAGTTTCATATGTGCCGCGGAACGGACTTCGGATTCGTGATCAGCGTATCCTGTTTGGTCTATATGCCCATTTTGAGCCGATTTGAAATTGTCCGGAATCTGCATGCAGATTCGGAATTCGGAAATTCCGGGAAAAGTTTCACATGTGCCGCGGAACGGATTTCGGATTCGTGATCAGCGTATCCTGTTTGGTCTATATGCCCATTTTGAGCCGATTTGAAATTGTCCGGAATCTGCATGCAGATTCGGAATTCGGAAATTCCGGGAAAAGTTTCATATGTGCCGCGGAACGGACTTCGGATTCGTGATCAGCGTATCCTGTTTGGTCTATATGCCCATTTTGAGCCGATTTGAAATTGTCCGGAATCCGCATGCAGATTCGGAATTCGGAAATTCCGGGAAAAGTTTCATATGTGCCGCGGAACGGACTTCGGATTCGTGATCAGCGTATCCTGTTTGGTCTATATGCCCATTTTGAGCCGATTTGAAATTGTCCGGAATCCGCATGCAGATTCAGAATTCGGAAATTCCGGGAAAAGTTTCATATGTGCCGCGGAACGGACTTCGGATTCGTGATCAGCGTATCCTGTTTGGTCTATATGCCCATTTTGAGCCGATTTGAAATTGTCCGGAATCTGCATGCAGATTCGGAATTCGGAAATTCCGGGAAAAGTTTCATATGTGCCGCGGAACGGACTTCGGATTCGTGATCAGCGTATCCTGTTTGGTCTATATGCCCATTTTGAGCCGATTTGAAATTGTCCGGAATCCGCATGCAGATTCAGAATTCGGAAATTCCGGGAAAAGTTTCATATGTGCCGCGGAACGGACTTCGGATTCGTGATCAGCGTATCCTGTTTGGTCTATATGCCCATTTTGAGCCGATTTGAAATTGTCCGGAATCTGCATGCAGATTCGGAATTCGGAAATTCCGGGAAAAGTTTCATATGTGCCGCGGAACGGACTTCGGATTCGTGATCAGCGTATCCTGTTTGGTCTATATGCCCATTTTGAGCCGATTTGAAATTGTCCGGAATCCGCATGCAGATTCAGAATTCGGAAATTCCGGGAAAAGTTTCATATGTGCCGCGGAACGGACTTCGGATTCGTGATCAGCGTATCCTGTTTGGTCTATATGCCCATTTTGAGCCGATTTGAAATTGTCCGGAATCTGCATGCAGATTCGGAATTCGGAAATTCCGGGAAAAGTTTCATATGTGCCGCGGAACGGACTTCGGATTCGTGATCAGCGTATCCTGTTTGGTCTATATGCCCATTTTGAGCCGATTTGAAATTGTCCGGAATCCGCATGCAGATTCAGAATTCGGAAATTCCGGGAAAAGTTTCATATGTGCCGCGGAACGGACTTCGGATTCGTGATCAGCGTATCCTGTTTGGTCTATATGCCCATTTTGAGCCGATTTGAAATTGTCCGGAATCTGCATGCAGATTCGGAATTCGGAAATTCCGGGAAAAGTTTCATATTGCCGCGGAACGGACTTCGGATTCGTGATCAGCGTATCCTGTTTGGTCTATATGCCCATTTTGAGCCGATTTGAAATTGTCCGGAATCCGCATGCAGATTCAGAATTCGGAAATTCCGGGAAAAGTTTCATATGTGCCGCGGAACGGACTTCGGATTCGTGATCAGCGTATCCTGTTTGGTCTATATGCCCATTTTGAGCCGATTTGAAATTGTCCGGAATCTGCATGCAGATTCGGAATTCGGAAATTCCGGGAAAAGTTTCATATGTGCCGCGGAACGGACTTCGGATTCGTGATCAGCGTATCCTGTTTGGTCTATATGCCCATTTTGAGCCGATTTGAAATTGTCCGGAATCCGCATGCAGATTCAGAATTCGGAAATTCCGGGAAAAGTTTCATATGTGCCGCGGAACGGACTTCGGATTCGTGATCAGCGTATCCTGTTTGGTCTATATGCCCATTTTGAGCCGATTTGAAATTGTCCGGAATCTGCATGTACGAGATTGATATCAATCTGCATGCAATTATACGAACGTCTGGTTCTGATTGGCTTACAATTTTTGTAATAGATATTAGAACACAGCTTAAGAATGATGACGAATGCGGCGCAACGGCGAACCACAGCCATCGTCCAATAATTCAATAGCTTATATATGTAGGGCGAGTATGGTTTATATACTGCTTACCAGTTTGGGGCGGAGCTGCCGACAAAGAACTTAAACGACTGCAAAAAATGATTAACTTTGCGGCTCGTTTGGTGACCGGTTCGAAGCGCCGTGATCACGGGCCTGTTCCAGCGCCTCCAGAAGAAATTCTTGACTGGAGGCTCTACCAGAGGTTTTACTGGAGGCGCTGGAACGCAATCTGGAGATTTCTGGAGATTGGCGTCATAGATACCAAAAGAATGACGATTGTTCTCTCTTGAAACGCAAAATTTGTTTTCAATTTTAGTTAAAAAGATAAATAAAGTTATAGCAATGTAATTTTCTTTACATTCAAGTTGTAAAATAATCAGTCAAATGTCCTTTGTTTACATTCGTGATTGTCACATGTGCACCATAATTGTAGACCAGAGCCTCCAGAGAAATTTGGACCTCTCAACTCTCTGGAGGCTACTGGAGGTTTCTGGAGCTTTGGCGAGAGCTTTCTGGAGCTTTCTGGAGGCGCTGGAACGCTCTCTGGAGGATTCTAGAGCTTTCTGGAGCTTTCTGGAGGTTTCTGGAGGCGCTGGAACAGGCCCCACATCACACCAGTTCTTAAGTCGCTCCACTGGTCACGGATTGGCGAGCTGGTGGAGGAGCGTGATCGACTGAAGGTGCACCGCGCAATCTGCGATCCCCATGCACCAATCGTGGTACAAGACATGTTCAAACGTCGATGTGATGTGGCGACTCGTGACACGCGCCTGACAGATACAGCGCAGGTGCACCTACCGAAAGTGCGGCTTATTGCCACTCAAAAACACTTCATGTACAGGGCTGGCTCGGCATGGAACCGGCTGCCCCGAGAGATCCAAGGCATGTCCAGCATATTTGCTTTTAAGCGGGCGATCAGGCCACCACGAAATGTGTAGTTTGATGCTGAAGTGGTCTAAAGTGTTGCCTTGGTCCTGTTTTTTCTTTTTCTCCTCTTTAGTGAACTCGAACGCGGCTCCAGGAAAGCGCATGTGCATTGTGCATAGTGGTTCCCTGATCATGTGCCATCCTGAAACAACTATGCCTGCATGGAAGGATGTGCAACAAATAAATAAATAAATAAAACGGCCAGAAAAAAAAAATAAATAAATATAGCCTTGGCGAGTACCTAAATTCAACCTAAATTCAACCTAAATTGAAGTGAGCCGGTGGAAGACTCGGATAGACTCGGGAGACTCTCCGACCCCAGCTGCGTCTCGGTCTATGGGGAAAGGTCAGTCTTCTAAGCAGGGGGATCTTGTTATTGTTTCAGTTTCCAACTTTTTTTCCTGGAGCATTCTACCTGGTTTATATAGCCTCGGGTCAACCCAAGGCAAAGGGGCTAGCCGCAGGGCTGCGGAGTCGATGGATTTTAGGGTGACTCCGACTCCGGGTTCAAAAATAGACTCCGACTCCGACTCCGGACGGTTCTATTAAAATCCATACCATGAATCATGATATTGAAGTTCATACCTAAAAGAATAGAGACGTTTTAATCTTGCCTGAAACGATCCCTTGTGCGTTCCAAGGCTTTGCGTTGCAAACATGCATTAGAAATGGCATGCAGGATTAAAAAGCACGTTCTTGGGAATTCACCGTCTTCTGCTTCTCTTGCTGAAAATGTTCGTTCAAAACATCAAAAGGGCCTTTTTTCGACATTAGCACAGTATCGTCAATCAAATACCTAGCCCTAGGTGCAGTGCATGACATTGAGCCACGCAGCATTAACTCCTACTCCGGAGTCAGAGTTGGTAATATTTTGGTGACTCAAACTCCGACTCAGGGCAGAACTGTAGACTCCGACTGACTCCAACTCTGACTCTGACTCTGCAGCCCTGGTCAGCCAGGTTGAGGTAGGTAGGCACTATAATAGAGGTGTCAATTTCAGAAAACGTATGTTCAAAGTCCGTCCAATGTCCAATGCTTACGTCGACTGTCCGTCCAAAAATGTCCAAGCCAGTCATTTGTCCAAAGAGGTCCGACACCTAGGCAATAGTTTACACTCAACACTGTTATTTAAGTTGCTTTTCATATACCGTTACCAGCTCAAAAGTGGTAATCATATTGAAAGCTGCGCTTTCTAATAGCCAATCAATGTTAAACACGATTACTTTTTAAAAATGTTGAGGTGTAGCAAGTGATTGTCCAAAGTTGTCCAAAGCCTGCTGCCATTGTCCAACCAAATTCCGAATTGGACATTGGACAAAATCGGAATTCTGAAGATTCAAGTTCCGATTGACACCACTAGTAGGCACTGGTCACTCGTATGATAGCTGTGGAGGCTGGGGGATCAGGACTAAGACTTAGTAGTTAGTAACCGTCCCAGCCTAAACCAACCAGACCAAAAATCCATGACAGACTGTACTGAACAACACCTAGAGGCACAATTGACAATTTATCATTACAAAATGCAGATTTTGTACTTTTGGTGTGAAAACTGTAATAAAAGGTCAGTTGTTCTTTGACCAACCGGCCCATTGTGTCTGCCTTAAATCATTTTCTTGGACAATAATGCACCAGCAAAGCAGTTCATCACAGTTTCATGCTGGAGCCTGCACTGCTCCTGACTCCAAAGTCTGCACCACACTGCTGCAAATCAGCACCACACCACACCACTGCTGAACAAGGGCAAAACATATTATGTCCTGGTGACCTCTGGCATGAGGTAATGGCCTCTGACCCAATGTAATTGTTTTTGCCTTTTCACGGGAGACCAGCTGACTGAGTGCCTTCGCACTGGCAAGAACTCTTCAAGAATACCATATTTTGCAGTCTGGCTCTTATGGGTCACATTTGCCCATGTATAGGACAGGAAGGGTCTTGCTCCCCCTCCAGTACAAAGAAGTACCTACCTAGTTTGTTCAGTATTACCACAGCTGTTGATCAATGAAGCTAACATAATCTATTAACTGCCTAATCCCATTATCCTATCCAGCCAAAACTAAGAATCATTCCATTCTTACAGCCCTGGTACAGAAAAGCAAAGTAGCATAACCCATCCTATCACCTGTGATGTCAGTGACTATATTCAGTGAATTGCATCAGTGTTCCATTTTTCAGAATTTTGGGTGGGAAGTCTAACCTGGATAGGGAAAATATTTTCATCCCAAAAATCGGAAAACTGACATTATTTCACCTTTGAAGAAAGTTTCGTGCATTCAATCAGTCAGTCCTGACCCCCCCCCCCCCCCGCAAAGTTATTCATAACACTGCACTTGATGAGCCTAGTCCTCACTGCTAGTTTGCTAGATATTATATAGATACCTATTAGAGATAGCTATAGATATTATAGTGGTTTGCATGATCCAAGGGCTTTTTGGTCATTATTTTTACCTGGTAGTATAGTATGTGTTGAACTGGGAGATCTGGAGCAGGAGGTAGCTCTTGAAAAACAAAAAACAAAAAACTTTTGTTTAGTTTCTTTTCATCTGATCCATTCAGAAGGGCACAATTTTCTGTACCTAAATGATTGAAGTTTTCATTTTTTAACACGCGCACCGACAGGGGGGCGGATATCCGCCCCCCTGAGGTTTTTCGCGAATAGCGGGAACGCCGCGAAATTTGGTAAGACTGTTCTCTCATCAATTTTACACATGGTGTGCAAGTTTGAACCTCCTAACTTTTAACCCTCGCCCTTGCAGGGCATTTTTCATAACACGGCTTGACAGGGGGGGGGGGGTCGCATCGACCCCCCTCGCGGTTGGCTCCTATGGCACCTAGAAACACCAAATTTGGTAGGTAGGTGGGCCCCCTGGAGTTCTCGCCCCTGTGCAAATTTGGTTGCTCTAGGTCAATATTTAGGGGTTTTTTGGGGGGTATAAATGTAAAAATTTCGCTAAAAACAGGTCAAACGTGTTTTCTGGCCTGGTGACCTGACTCAAGGTCACCCGGACCTGAAATTTTCAGGCCATATGTAAAAAGGTTGCCTCATAGGCTGTGCCAAATTTGGCAGCGCTGCGCGCCGCCGTTTTCACGCTATCTTCGAAAAACCTTAGGGGGGGGGGTCGCATCGACCCCCCTGCCAGGGCGAGGGTTAAGGTCAGGTCACCAGGTCACTTTGAATGACCCAACCTCAAGTCACTTTTTTGCAACTTTGTCACCATGCCAGAGCTACAGTAGATGTCGGAGGCCTTTGTAAGTCGCAGGATGTTATGAGGTCATTAGTCAGGTCACACGTCGGTGCGCGTGTTAATATAAGTAATGACAATCTTTCAAATGATGGTTGTTTTTATCTCTTATTCATTTCTTTGCTTGATAGATGATGGACGAACTGCATGAGTTCCACTCTCATGAGGAGGAGCTCAAAATTGGCCATGGGTCTGGTGAAAGCAGAGTGGTGCACGACTACATGTGGCGAGTGCTGAATCTAAACATGATGCTTGGAGGCTGTGAGCAAGGGATCAGTCCGCCAGCGGCCGCGCCCCACTTGCAGCACTTACAGCAGTGGATGGCAGAGCTACCCATCAGCCATATGCCAGCAGCGGGCGCCGTTCTGCAGCGTGGCGCCCCATCGACGCCGCCGACGGCCAGCGCTCACTGCGACGCCGGCCAGTACGCGGCACCGGCGGACACCCTGCAGCAGGGTGGGGAGCGCCGTCCGCCCCAGCACGTGTCTGCGATGTCGAGGTCACTGTCGACCGACCCGTGCGCCGCCACCGGCGCCGAGCTCTCGCGTCAGTCGCACGGCTCGCCGTCGTCGATGCCGGCCCCACCTCCTCCCAGTCCGTACGTCGGCACCGAATACGGTCTGCAGGCACCGCCGCCGGTGTCGGGGCTGTACCCTAGCCTGCCACAGCCAGTGCACCAGCAGACGTCGCCGCCGGTGGGCCTGGAGCGCGGCCGCGAGTCGTTCCACGACCGCCCGACGGTGCCAGCTGCTCTGCCGTCGCTGGCTGGCGGCGGCACCGGACCCGTGACGTCCACGTACCACGGCGCATTCGCCGTCTCCGCCAATCCTGCGTCGTTCCCCGCCGCCCCTGATGAGCCGCAAAAGAAGCAGCGCGGTCGGAAGAAAGGTCAGACAAAGAGCTCGGGCGCCTGGGTCGCTCACAAGGTGCTCGGACGGCCTGTAGGCACCACGCGCGCCAACGGCTACAAGGTGGGCTCGCGCGGCGGCCGCCGTAAGGGAACCACGCGCGCCAATGGCTACAAGGTCAGTGGCGGCCGACCCAAGGGGACCACGGCGGCGAACGGGTACAAGGTGAGCCCGGGCCGACCGCGCGGTACCACCGCCGCCAACGGCTACAGAGTGGGCCAGGGCCGGCCCCGCGCGGTCAAGGCGGACCCTCCGCCGCCCGATGGGACCTTGCAGGTCGACGGCAGCAGGGACTATCAGCCGCCACCGCCGCCTTCCACCCACCAACAGGCCGCCGACAAGAAAGCCACACAGTCCATGGGCTACCAGATCGACCAAGGTACGTTTCTTTGATACATTTTTTTATTTCATTTTTGTTACCTATTATATTTTTGTTTGTCACCCTACTGCATGTTATGGGTGATGCCATGGCACAGGAAGGTATTTCGTGTCGCTTTCGTGAAGTGATACTCATAAAGTCATAAGCTTAAACTACCGCTTTAAGAAAAGTTTGAAAATCTCATTTTTAGTTTAGCTTTTCCCTAGAATCATATGTCATGTTTGTTCAGACATTATGTTTTAAGTCTTGATGTCATTCAGCTTGGGCCTGTTCGATGACTACACGGTTTACGGCTACTTGATTATCAGGGCGATATCGTCGGAAAATTCATTGAAGAGATCTGACTAGCCAGTATCTATACCTGTCATTAAACCAGCTCAGCATCTCAGCGGAAAAACGAGCATGCTGCTGAGGTGGCCAAAATCCGGATCGTACCGCTTCGGCGTTTGCTATTTAACTTCCGATAGAGATTTTCGATTGGGTTTCGGTAGAGTTTCGGTAAAGCTATCCGGCTGGGCAGTGGGCGGGCTGGTAGTACGGGCTGTGGTCCGCAAGTTGGTGGACTCCTAGTACGGACAGTCCGGCAGTGAGCGGGCTGCTATTCCGCTCTCAGGTACTCAGGCGTCCTGCCTTGGGAATGGGGGTGGGGGTTTGTTCCTGCCCAGGCAGTAGGTAGCGGCAGCAGACGGCGCACTGCCGACTGTTGAATGAACGGGCGGCAGTGCGCGGCCGCGCGGCTCAGGCCGGTCGATGGCTCTGTGCCGACTGTGCTGTAGGACGGATGGCGCGGCACGCTCCGACTACCAGTGTACCCCAGATGGGATCAATAGCGACCTCTCCGGGACAGAAATATCACGGCGCGGCTGCACGGCAGTTTCCATCGCCCCGCAGCGCGGTGCGGCAGAGTCGGGTTTCACAAAAACATGGTCTGCTTAGTTCAGCGGCTGCCTCAAGTAACACTGACTAAGGGACTAGGCTAGGGATCACTTTACATGTAATCCCGCCACACAGCAATTTTGTAAGATGTCTGTGATTGAGATGGCGTCCTTGGTTGATGCTGCCTGGCTGACAGATGAAGCTGATCTACAGGGTGTTTCACTAAAAATGTCAAAAAGTAGAAGGCCAAAGTGCACACAACAAAAATGTATTGTCATAACAATTGGACATCATTGTACTCACAGTCGTGGGACATTTACATATATGCGGTGGCATACGGTGGTCCATCACCCCTACTCCACGTGGCCGCCCCTTCTTTCGACGCACACTTTTGCGCGGTCACGGAGATGTCTCACCGCCCGTTTCGCGTCTTCGGCATCCAGACCGTCTGCAAAGTCTTGGACCGCCTGCTTTAACTCTTGCAGCGATGTGATCTTGTTCTTACTGAGCTCTGCAAGAGCGACCGACCAAAACCAATAGTCGAGAGGTGACAGGTCGGGACTTCGTGCTGGCCAGGGGCGGTTTGTGAGGCGGCTGATGACTCGGTTCGGGAACTTTTCGCTCAGCCAGTTCCTGGTGGCCACGGTCGTGTGAACACTTGCTCCATCCTGTTGAAACCAGTAGCCCCTTCTTGTGGCCTGATGCCGAACAGCGGTCCACATCACGTTCTCCAGCATGTTGAGGTAGGTCTTGCCGTTGACGGAGGTGTTGGAGTCAAACCAATGCAGCAGCACCCGTCCATCAATGACCGCGGCCCAGCACATCACCTTGAGCCCTCCTTGCTCGTTGCATTCCACTGCAACATCAGGATTCGATGGCGCCCAATAACGCTCATTCTGTTTGTTCGGTTTCTGTCGAAGAACAAACCACTTTTCATCACTCCAGATGACGCGTTCTTCAAACTCCGGAGGCTGCTGAAGAAGCCACTGACAGAACGCGGCCCGATCCGCCTTGTGCGCGTCGGAGAGAGGGACCACAGTGCGCGACCTGTAAGGAAACCATCCCAGCTTTTTTCTCAAGATGCGCCATATTGTTGTTTTTGAGAGCTGTAAGGCCTTAGCTATCTCTGAAGTCGAGATTTGTATCTTATTGTCTTGATAGGGTTTCAAGAAATCTCTTACTTTTCCGACCAGTTCCGCTGAAATCGGAGGTCGGCCCCGTTTCTTGAGACTCGTGGGAGTGTCTGAATGAACATTCTGGAACGTCTGGATGACCCGTTTAAAACTGTTGAAACTTGGAATGGAGCGAGGTGAGAGATTATAATGTTTCCTGTAAAGTCTGCGTACCGCCTGGATCTTTCCGGTCGCGCCAAATTTGAGAATGATCCAACCCTCCTGTTGTGGTGTGAAGGGGCTTCTTTTGCTCTTCATGAATAAAAATGATGGGTGTCTTTCGTCCCTTCTCCTACGCAGCCAGAGTGTCAAGTGCAACTAATCTGTGTCAAAATACAAATGTCCAAGCATTTGGAACCAAAGCACGTGCAAAAAAATGTGCTTTGCATTTTTTTAGCACCTTTTATAATGAAGTACTTTTTGACATTTTTAGTGAAACACCCTGTACATAGGTGAAGTGCTTGGAATTGGAGCGTGCTCAGTGCTCTCATGCCTTACACCCTATAATGTAATATACCTACTCGTAACTCGTTATATGCGCACGCACATTCACAATTTATGGAAGAACATAATAAAACCTTTGACTTCATAAGGTCAGACTGCGAGGGCAGGTCATTGTCGGAACAGCAGTGGCGCACTGAACACGACTAGCTATGTCCAAGATTGTCCATGTCCAATGTCCAATGTGGATTGGACCGAGCAGTTACGTCGAAACATTGATGAATTAGCTGCGGTGGGTCCACACTCCACAGTCACACGAGATGTGTTAGGTACGATGTCTTCGTCTTGAGTTATTCACAGGGCCTCGAATTTACCGTGACGTTAGTCCTTTTCATGACATTTTTCTGTTTTTGATATCCTACTTTGACTGTTTTGATTGGTCAACATAAGATAACGTTAGGCACAGTTTGCTGTACTTTTTTAGAGTTACTTATCGAGGAAGGCAGTGTTCAGCCGATTCGCCCGGACTTTGTCCATGAGTCGCTATGTGTAGTTGACGTGTGTGCGTGCCCCACTCTTTCGACAGTGGCTCCTGTGACGATCGAGGTGACGCCGGATCTGCCCGGCGGCGGCTCCCCGGGCTGGAGCCCGTCACGGCCGGACGTCACGCCTCCGGCCCCCTACCAACCGCCGCTCGCCACGATCGGCGGCCGCCAGCCGACCGTCTCAGCACAGACCGTCTCGCCCCAGCTGAGTGTCGCCGCGTCGTCCACTGCGTGTGTCGAGGTGGGAAGCGCCGGCGGCGCCGTCTACCGGCCGCCGCCGGCTCTCGCCGCGCCGCCGGGGGTGCAGGTGTCGCGGGGTGGCGCGCCGGCCGATCCCGGATACCCGCAGCTTCCCGCCGCCCACCGGGACGGCAGGCGGCCAGCGGGGCTCCCGCAACTCGAGCTGCCGACCGACCCGGTCCACAGGTCGCACTCTGTCGCTCGACTGCCCGCCTACCTGTCGCCCCCGGCCGGCCACGGCCTGCCATTTCCCCCACCGTTCACTGGGTACTCTCAGTTTCCGGCGCCGGTGTCGCAGGCTGGTCGCTGCCGGCCTCCGGTGCCGGCCGGGGGTCTGGGTATCGCGTCTACCGGCGTCGCTCCAGGGTCAGTTTCCACCTCGGGAATGGGTATGCTCACGACAGGCTGCCGGCCGTACAGCGATGTTACATACAGTTTGGCGGCTTTCAGCGCCGCCCGACCGGTGTATGCCCCGCTTGGGGCGCCAGACATCAAAGAGGAGGCGCCGGACGCCATACCGTGTGGCGGCGGCGGTCGGTACGTCGCCGGCTCGCCGTCCCACCCGATGGCGGTCGGCGTGACCCCGCGCGGCTACGGAACCCTCTGAGGGCCGGCGCTGGGGACCGAATCGAGCCACCAGTCCCGCCGGTCGCTCTCGGCAGTACCGATCGCCAGCCGTCCGCATCGCTCCGGAACCGGCCGTCGCCGCGGTGAAAGAGCGCGCGTGTTACCGACAAGTGTTCTCGCACCGCACACGCACCCGGTCCGGAACGGAGGACGCGGCGAATTAGTCCGGTCTGCCGAGAGCAGGGCGGGGTCCACCAGCACTCCCATAGCACGGCCACGTGACCGTTGCGCCCGCTGTCGCCCGTAGATTCCTCTCCTGAAGGTCTGACCCGTATCCTGAAAAGGTTTTCCCTGGGCGGGTGCGCCGATTGTAAAGCGGCCAGTACGTTCCCGCTGCTGCCTGCGGCTCAGGTTGACGCTCTGGTTTTGGAGCGCCGGCAGCCGCCTCCAGAGGTGTACTGGTTGATGTTTGTATGAACGCTTCCGCCCGACAATCGCTGTCCCGGTGGCCGCCTGTCGGAGACGCCCGCCTGACGTGGAAACTATCTGACAGTGAGCGGTTACTCACTGAGACTGACTGCGGGAATGAAAACAAAAGGGGTGCATTACGGCAGCCTTCAGTCTCGAAGGTGTGAAATTCTGCTGGATATTGTGAATGACATTGTCTCAGGTGCAGCCGTGGTCCCTGCTCGGACGCCGCTGCCAGAGAGGACTGATCGGGGGTGTGCAATCAATGGGACGTTCGGTCACGAATACTCTATATTTGTCGATATACTTGCGTGTTGTTTTAATGTTTGCCTGGATAAGTACTGAAAGGTCTGCCATCCGGTGCAGTGAACGTTGGCTGTTAAGTGTTAATGTCGCAGTTGGGCCTGCTCAATCGTTTAATATGTGTGGATGTTTTTATTGGAAATGCTTCACATTTACCACTTAGATAATTAAAGATTGTTAATGTGTCAGAGCTATGTATGGCAACCACCTAAATGTGATAGCGGGAACGCCATGCTCACATGGTAGGCAATAGGCAATAGACATGGCCCAGTCCTCACGGCACGGATGGGACTGTATTTATCATTTGATAGTTGCTGATATTTTTAGCATTTGCATTCACATACTTGCATTCATACTAGTTTTTGTTTTGGGAAGAGGTGAAACTAAATGGGCAATATCAAAATTGAAGAAGGGGAATTGAGTTTGATGCGACTTATGTCAAAAGGTTGGCAAGGAACTACCTGATTCCGCAGAGTCACGCTTCTCAATATGACGTGACTATATTTCTGATCTTTCGCCCAGTCCCGCATTTGAATATTCTGCCCTGCTGGGTGGCATTTAAACATTCCATCTTATTCACTCGGCTCCTAGGACGCTTAGCGAGAAGCGGCAAACGGCGTTGTAAAGGTCATCAGAGCATATTGAAGGACTGCTTATTCCTGCCTTATAACTCGCGCCCCGCTGAATTCAGTCGGAAGGCGCTCCGCTTTGGGGGAAGGAGGGGGGGGGGGGTCAGATTCGGCCCCCTGTCTAACTTCCGAACGGATGGTCGTTGAAAGACTGGGTACACGACATACAAAATTTGTCAACAGGGTCGATTTTTTAGCATATTTTTTATGCTCAAAAAGGTCAAAGAACCGGTCAAGGTCAATTCAAAGTTACCTGTAGCTACGTTAAGTAATTGTATTGCAACATAGACGACAGATTACAGTCACAGATCTTTCACAAAAAAACTGACTCATTTTATTTCTAAATTTTCTGCGAACGGTTGCTTATAAGTTGCTTATAAGTGTGTATATTTAGTTCACATCGCTTGTCTGCTGCAGATGCTACAGCGCATGTTCTACAAGACATCCATTTAGGGCGACACGAAGTTCAGCCTGCCACTGGAGGTGCTCCACTGCCATCCGGCACGTGTCGGCGGAGACACTCTTTGTTATAGTCGATTCCGGTGGTTATTTCTTAGTTGTTTCGGTTGGGTTGTTTGGGCCTTGTTCGGTTGTTTCCTGGTTGTTTCCGCCAAGGCCATATAACCATTTCAACACTGTCACGGCGATTTATCGGGCGCGGCGAACGACCCTGAATACGCAATGGCGACGACCTTGGAACTATTTATTGTTTACGTGTTTCCATGTGACTGGGGGGTGAGCCCAAATGAAGGGAAGACCATGAGGGGAAATGGAGGGAAAACGTGCCCCTGACCGCCCCCTCCCCCCTCAAGACGCATGCGTCTCTGCAAGATACGCATTGCGTCTAACACAAAACAAATATGTGTACCACACATAGTGGACACACGAACTCAATCGTACGTCTGGTCCGCCCAGCGCACGGTCAGTCAGGCGGGACGGCGACGGCGGCGCGTCCCACGGCGCACTGGGCTGGGGCCGTCGGCGCTGTGCCGCGGCGCCGTCCATCCGTCCGTCGCCGTCCATCCGTCCGTCGGCGCAGCGGCGGAGGTCTCTTCCGTGCCGTTGGGTGCCGAGATCGGGGCGGGCTGCTGCCGGCGCCCGGGTGCAGGTGTGGCGGCGCCCTCCGAGCTGAGGGATCTCTGGGGTCGCAGATGGCGCCGGTTCCGCCAGTAGATTCGGCCACTGGGCAGCCGAACCAGGTAGTCGCGCCGCTGTCCGACTGTGGTGATGACGCCGAGGCGGTCCCATAGCCCCGACCGCGGGTCCTGGATTAGCACACGCTGACCCACGGTGAGCGCGCTATGCGGGTGGGCTGTCGTGTCGTACCGCTCGGCTGTTTTCTGCTTATGTTCCGCGGCCCTGGCGTCGTAGTCGTCCGCCGCCCGCTGTCAGCAGTCGGCGAAGGCCCGGTGGTGCGCCGGCACTGCCGATCTCAGGGGTGGCCGAACAGCACCTGAGCCGGGGAGCGGCCGTCGGCGCGCGGTGTGTTGCGTAGCTCCAGCAGCCCCTGCGCGTAGGCGTCAATGTCGAGGTCACCGCTGCTGGTCACCTTTTGGATGAGACGTTTGGCTGCCTTTACCGCCGCCTCAGCGTGCCCGTTTGACTGTGGGTAGTGGGGCGTGGAGATTTGGTGCTTCATTCCCCAGCGGCGCAGGAATTCTCGGGTGAGCCGGGCGGTGAACTGGGGTCCACCGTCTGTCCGGAGGGTGGCGGGCACGCCGGTGGCTGCGAACATCTGGCGCAGGCTGCAGACCAGGTCTCTTGCAGTCGCCTCGACGGCCACGTGCGACACAAACGGCCACCCGGACAGACGGTCCGCGTACACCAGGAACGTGCGACCGGTCCAGGCGAAGCAGTCAGCGGAGACAGTCTCGAACACTTGTGACGGCGTCTTTTCCGGCATCAGTGACTCCTTCTGCTGACTGGGTAGGTACCGCTGGCAGGCCGGGCACGCTCCGACATAGTTTGCGATGTCGCTGGCTGTCCAGGAACGGCCAGTAGACCACCTGCCGCGCGCGTCGTTTGGTGCGCTCAATGCCCTGGTGACTGGCGGGTAGGCGCTCGAGCGTGGCGCGCCGCAGACTGGGCGGTATCACGAGCCGCTGGCCGCACACCACCAGGCCGTCGTATCCACCACCACCATCGGCGGCGGCGGCGGCGCGCACCTCTGTCAGCGCCGCGTCTTTGAACGGGTTGGGACCGTCGTCAGCCCCGTCGGTGGCCAGCCGCGAGAGCACACTGGCGAGTTGATTGCTGGCGTCCCTCTCGGCTTTCTCGTCCTCAGGCGCCGGGTCATCCACCGGCGCGCGCGACAGTGCGTCCAGGGGGGGGGGGGGTCATTTTGCCCGGTCGCCAGGTGTTGCGACTGTGGCCGTGTATAAAAGTGTGAACTGTATTCAGACAAACCCAAACACTGAATTAGCAAGTTTCAGCCGGCTATTCAAAGAGCTAAGTAAATGACCGCCATATATTGTGATGAGCACAATGAAATGCAAGCCTTATATTGCCACCCGTTAAGCGACAACAGTCGAAGTTAAACAGCACAAGGCTGACCTTACCAGCATCGATCCGGAAATACACTACACCACAAAAGGCTCCAATTTGGGGTTGGCACCGGGTTACCCCGCGCCGCCACCGACAGCCGACCCTCCACTACTCCTCGACGACTAGCCAACCAGCGGTAGCAACCGGGGTGCACAGAGTCAGCCCCAAGGCTGCACTCTCCCGGTGTCTGAGTTGACGCGCCGTCACTCTACCCGTGTGCAAGATCAGGCACAAAAGGCCGTACCTTACGGGTTCGAGATCAGGACGCCAATTGACCGCTGATCAGCGACCGCCGCCGTAGTCAGCTCCGCCCAATTCGCCCGCAGGCGGCCGGTCACGTGCCGACAGCGGCTCACAACTCGCGCGCGCGTCGCCAGCCGGGGCTGGGGCTCACAAACTCAGGTGGTCACATTTCACAACATACTCCCCCTTGAAAATTAACAAATTTTCAACACAATTTAATGAAAATAAAGTCCTGCAGCACGCGACGGCATCACCGATCCCACAGCACTACGGCCTCTGCCTCGTCAAAAAACTCATCGGCGCTCACATCACTGTCTAGTGTCTAAGTGTCCACTCTACTTGGCCTTCATTTGAAGCCACTTGGGGAATGACCCAGCACCGGCAAGCCTGGTGCATCCTGCGGCCGTCAGGTGCACCCCATCTTCTCTATACCACGGCTCACACCCTTTCATACCACTTCTTCTTCTTCTTCCCATCTTCCAAGCGAGGTACCGTCCCAGAGGAACCACGGTAGCCAATTCGCCCGGACGCTCCTCTGAGCAGCGTCCTCTCCAGACGGTAGGCAGCCGTACTGTTCCAAGTACAGCCTCTCAGCTCCCCAGCAAGCCGGGGAAGTGGACCCAGGACGATGACCTCACCAATAACACGGAGCCGCTGCAGAACAAGACAGGCCTGGCGGGCGAACTCCTTTAGTGAGGCGTCGCTATATCGTGGGAGGCCGGACAACTTGCTGTAGATGTCACTACCCGTGAGCCATACCACTATCATGCCGGTGGCCTTGTCGATCGCCGCTGCCGCCGTCTGCCAGGACGTGACGGCCTGATCCACTTCACTGAGCAGAGAGGCCCATGTG